CCGCGACTCCGTCCGCGTAGAATAAAAAAACAAAAGTGAGCAGCCTATATGTTCTTCCATACTATCATCTACATCTATGCCAAATTCCATAGCGATCTGTCCAGCCGTTTAGGCTCATACTCTAACAAACATCCATCCATCTAAACTTTCGGATTTATAATATTAGTATATTGTACTTGATAGGAGTTTTATTTAAAGTTTTATCCAACTTACCTCTTCATAACTTTACCCTGGAAGGATCTAATGTAATATCCGCAGTCCATCTTGCACTTGAGCGAGGACACGCCCGTCACCACGTAGCGCCCGGTGGGGTCCCACTCTATGCCTGACATCTACAATATACAAATATAAGAAAAATGTTAAATTATAACAATTTTACCTTCACATCAGTTGGAAAACTTAAATATTCTATAGTTTATTAATTAATGTATAGATAATATTTTCAGACAATTTTCAGACAATGTATATAATAAATATATCTCAAATATATCACATTCCCATTGAATTTGTTACTACATATATTAATATGTGGAATGTATCAAATTTATAATGCCTTATACAGTGTGTTTCAAATAAGAATGATACCATATGAGTCTATGATTTTAAACTAGTCAAAATCAACTAAGAATGTTTCAATAAAAGATATTTTACAAAATCTCAGTCTTTAGTTAAAATGTACATTAGGCAGTTTGATTTAAAACTGTAAAGAATGTAACAAAAAATATTAAAAACATGAAATCTCACCTGATAATGATCACAGACATTCATAATAGTGAAATCATTTGTGTCCAAGAATTCCAAAGCACCTCCCGTCAGTCCAAAGTTCGCTAACACAATAAACTGTCCCAAAGGTGACCAGAAAAGATGGTTAAATGGTTTATTCTCGAACTTCTTTAACAAAGTAGGCGCTTGTCCTGTATTAACTTGGTAGAAACTTATACATATGTTAGCTGGATCACCATGAATTATCGCAAACTTAGACCCAACAGGTTCCCAAGCAAACGCTTGAATTGGCTCTTTAATTTCCACCGAATCTACCGGTATCTCTTTCTCCCTCATATGGAATATTTCAAAATTATAATACATTCCAGAATACTTAATATCATTTTTGTCTTTCTTGACTTTAGAGTAACGATCTACTTTGACACACAAGTAATCTCCGCTCTTCTGCCAGTGAATCTTACAGTCAGCTACAGAGAACAAATTTTTAGAGCGTATTTCATTACGATTGGGCAATTCTAATAATGTCACTCTCGCTGGTACATCTTTGTCTTCAGCGACCCAGTATGCTAGCACATTATCTGTAGGAGACCAACTAAAGTCCCTGTAAAATAAAAAAAATGATTTGAAGAGCAGTAAAAATCCTGCTTGAGGGACCATAAACATACTTTAATGTTACCATTACAACAATACAATTAAATTAAACTTTTACAACCTTACAAATAAATGTGGTATAAAGTTAATCTCAGAAACTGGGTATAAGCAAAATATGTACGATTTCTTACCACATTTCTTTGTAAGACTATTAAGCTTCAGGAACATTTTAACATTTTTTATAATTCAAGTCTACTTTCTGAAAAGACTATTTTTAATTTGGAATAATCAGCACCTTTCCTTGTAACCAGGTGGAAATCTCTTAAGTGTACATATTAATCTTACCTAATACCAGGAATCTTGATAGACTTCTTATCTAGAAGACCAAAGCCGGGAGTTTCATATACTGACAGCACATCAGCACCAAGTCGGGCAAAGAACTTATCATCCTTACTCCAGCGGAAGATTGGCCATGTTACATATTCATCTGGAGGTGGGAAACTACGTTTTTCTTGACCAGTTCTAAAAAAAAATAATGTTACAAAACATAGCTCTCCGTAAAATATCTTTATTGTTGCCACTTCATTGGAAATCAGCAGACACAATTATATGAAAAATTTTAAGATATGCCATTTTTCTTGTCATTTAAAATCTTTATTACATTTCCTTATGTTGCGCTACATCTAAAATTATATTCTTAAATGTTTTACACCTAAAACTTTAAGCTACCGTTTTAAATAAATAACAATCACATACCTTATATCCCAAATAATGAGTTTCTTGTCATCTCCTCTATCACTGCTCGGTGAGAAGGTGACAATATAGTTCTCACACGGTGAGAAAGAGATAAACCTTGCCTCGGGATGGAAGAACTTCTGGAACTGAGAGAACTTGGGCCCGGCCCAGAGAGCCACACCTCTCCAGTGGAAGGTAGCCAGGTATGTACCAAGAGGAGACCAAACAGCATAAGTTTCAGTCCAGTTCTAGAAAAAGAACAAGATTTATTAATTTCCTATGACTTACAGTAAGGATCACTGGACACATCTGATTAAAGTTTCAAACTGACAGCATGTTAACAATTAAAGAACCCTATATCTTATCAAGTGGGCTAGAAAGCTAGTTTTTTAATAATGTAATAATTATTGTGTAAGAATGTGTATTATCTTTAATAATACAAATGATAACTATTTATCAAGATTACAGACAAAACTTTTTTTTACATAAATAAACCAGCACTTGACCATGATTCAACCTAAGTTAAGTGAAGTGACAGCTGAAGAATAGAACAACTTTTCTCTGTTGTTTTAAATACCATAGCATTATTCCATCAATACTTTTTAAATACAATTCATGGCTATTTTTTATTTTTTTTGACTTAACATTAACATGTCTGGTTTGCATTTCATTTACAATAATTAAACATTTTTATTATTGGAACAAAAAAGTCAAAACATCAAAATTTATGAAAATTCGTATGCTAAAGATGATTTTACACAAACAAGTACTCACAGGTCTCTCTTGTAATAATACAGGTTCCGGCAAAGCATTCTGCCACACTTGCAAGGCAACTCCGGTACCAATTCCCACCAGGAACTGGTCATAAGCATCTGGGTCCATCAGGTACCATTGTAGGTCAGATTGTACCTTGAACGGCTGAGGCGCTGGTGGTTCCCATTCTTTAGGGATTTCAGAATATCTGGAAAATGTTATAGTTAAATAAATTATTGTTGTTAAAAAAAATATACTGATACAACTATTTTTTAGACTTGCTAAATATTTTTGAAAGTACAAGCTTTCAAGTAACCAAGTTAACAGTAAACAGTGTGCATTCCAATTGTGGTTTGAATTTAAAATAGTATGCAAATTAAACATGTCTTCTTAAGACTTTAGATGCATTTAAATTTATGCAAAAAACACAAATATCTAGATTTATATTATCTTAGAAATGATGCGAGGAAGTATCATATTGCTTTAGTTAATGTGTATTGTAACACTGAAAACTATTATTACAGTTTTTATTTTAAGAATCAATATATAAACTTTACTTACTTCTTAAAATCAGTAAATAGATTCACTAAAAATGTGTGCTGCTTGTCAAGTTTACAATTGTTAGTAGCTTTCACAGCCTCAGCTGCGTTCTGTGGACTATCATACTCCAGGAAAATGTATCCAGTTGTCGAGCCATTCTCGAGGGTCGGGTAATAATCACTGACAATCTTCCCGAACTTTCCAAAGATCTTATTTATAACGCTTTGTAACTTCTCCAGACGCTCCGGCCCAACTTGCGGGCATCCATCCACGACCACTACATTCTCATACCCGTCAGATTCCTTGGGCTTTTTCTCTAGAAGGTCCGCAAGCAATTCTGCAACGTCAAAGTTAGGTTATGCCTTGAGCTGACATCAACAACCTCAACACCAACTAAGAACATAATTATTTTTCGAAAAATGTGCGGTAACAACTTATAACTTTGAAAAGAACACAACATTGCACAAAAATAAAAAGAACAAACTTTTTATCTTACTAACTAGACAGTAACGCATATGGCCGGAACAACCTCTAAAACTTTTTAACTCTCACCTTCTTCGGGAATATCGTCAATAAATCCTTCCGGATCATCAAAGTCAGGTTCCTCGTCAAAATTCTGTTCTTCATTATCACTTTGAGGTGTTTGATTCACTTTTTCATCGCCCTTTTTCTTTGCCATTTTGACGTTATTACGTGTGGTACCGGAAGACACGCCATTAGTTAATGAACTAAAACCATAGAGAAAAGATCAGAACGTAAGCGCATTGACTTTCTAAGTTTCGTTCAGAAATCTATAGTTGAATCAAATGTTATTTCTGTAATAGTATCATACTATTTATAAAACCAAACTTAATTCCAATTGAATCACACAAATAAAATCGAAGTATCCTTAAAATCAACAACCAATAATAAGATATTGCACTAGAGGATTTTGCGTAAAAGGCCAAAAAACGAAAAGGAAAAACGTGACTTTAGTAAACAGTGGAAAGTAAACCTTAAAAGCGATGTCTCCTTTGCTGCTTAATCATCTTCCCGAAACCAGGTGGGAATGGAGAACTATGAAAAAACCTCGTCTTCCATCTTCTAAGCCTAAGATTCCGACCAAACTAAAGTAGTGTAATGACATTGTTTGTATGTGCAAGGTGAATATAGATAACAATATAATGTTTTATACAGGTGTCTCAGCAATGGAAACTCGTACATATATAGCTCACTACCTAAATGATGGTAATATAGCGTTCGTATGGTTCACAATGGTCACGCATTTTGTATGCCTTTTATATGACAGAAGGTCACAATTCAAACTGGCCGGATGTATTCAAACCTGTTGTAAATACGTATAATTTATGTGAAATAATGTTTTATTCAGCATGCTACACTTACTTTAATAAGACAAGAAAAATTCTAACCTAAAATTTAAAAAATTGTTGAAGCAGTCTCTTTTTGACGTATTAGTTTAAGAAATGTGAACGTATATATTTTAAATCCAATAAAAATATATGTAATATGTGTTCATAACACTTTAAACCCAGCATTGTATTTTGAGTGTTTTTGTCGTTAAATTTCGTATTAAATAGTACCCAGAAGTTCATTTGTAACTTTTCGTAAACATATTTAACTTAAAAGGCATCGTAACACTTTGTTGACGTCGTTTTTGCTTGCGCTATGTTCACCTCATTTTTCCATGGCAGCCGGTTTACATTTTACCAATCAACAACCAGCCAGTATGTTTCCCATAGCGGGCGGAAGAAGTCGCGTTCCCCGCCATTTTGCCATAGATAACTTTCACGAATAACTATCCTGTATTTTCCCGCGTAAAGGTACAAACTTAAATAAATAACTTTTTTATTGTTTTAATTATTGTATTTTACATCAAAACTCAAATTGTATTTATAGTTTAGTTAAATTTTTGTGTGACTTATTTAATGGTAGAATCAACTCGTTTCGTGTGTGAGTGTGTTGTCTTGTTTAATATTTATTTTAAAATATCGTAAAAAAATTGTTGAGTAGATACTTAGTTATTTTTAAAGTTTCTTTTCAATTACATATAAAGAGACATTACAATTTTTTTTTTTGCTGCAGTTTTTCAAATCAGTGAAAATGATTTGGACGGTGATCTGTCTATCATTGTTGACCTTCGTAAGAGGCCAAGAAATATGTTTATCTGGTGAAGAAGACCCTTATCTACTCTTCGGTACTAAAACATCTTATATTTTCGCGAATAAAATATTTCCATCAACTAGGATTCAAGACATTCCTGGTAAGTATTCTCTATTCCTTTATTACTTTTCCTCCTGAATAATGTCACTTAAGGAAACTTAATTTCTTCTTTTTATTTACAACACTTAAAGGTGTTTTATAGTATATCGTAAAAATGTAAATCAAGATCGGACCTATTTAACTTTACACACTTTACAATAAATATATTATTATTATTAAAAAACTACATAAAGTAATTATTATGTTTTGTCTAGAATATATAACTAACTAGCTCGCGACTTCGCCCGCGTGAAATTAAAAAATAACGAAAAATATAGTCTGTGTAACCCACTGATAACGCAGCTTTTTATTGGTGAAATAATTTTTGAAATCGGCAATATACTTTTTGAGTTATTTCAATAAAAAAAAATCCAATAAAAACAAATCTTTTCTCTTTATAATATTGGTATAAAGTATGAATGTATATTTATTAACATGTATAACCTAGTCTAGACCTTTTATTACGACTTAATGTCGTCTCAAAACATAACCACATTCCGGTTTACATACTTTTGTTGTAGCTCATTTGCACGTGTCGATTTACAACTACTTCCTTTTTTAAAATCAGCACAATTGTTAATAATTACTTTAAAACGTCTTTAAATTGTTAAAACTTACCTAATGTTTTGAACAACTGTCCAATACAACTAATTTATACGATTGTAAACCAACGGTGTGCCTTTGACTTATAATATGAACGTGACAGAATTTACGGTACGTTATTCTGTCCTACCATTATATTACGGTTTTAAAATATGGTTTCTTAATGAGAAAACATTAAAATAAATATTACGTTTATGAATACAAAGCTTTAACTCCGACTAAGAGTTCAAACCAGCTTTCACAATAAGCTAATAAGGTACTTACAACCTGTGGAAATCAGCACTTAGTTTTAAGTCATTACTTAGTAATAAAACTTGGTTATCGCATACTACAATACTAGGCCACTGGTTGACCACAAACACAATCCACAATCATTTGTAGATTTAATATCTTTAAGTGGTAATATAAGAATGGTAGGTATATTCACTCTAAGGATGTACATATTCATTTATATATACTAGCTATTAAAAACATGATCCTGCTGCAAGACACGGCCGAATACTGAAACGCCAATTTTTTTATAATATAAGCAGACACCTATTTGAATCCGCCAAAATGACAAAGTGACCGCTGACCATAGACGAAGGAAGGTAAATAAAGAAATTCCTCTTCCTATACGTCTCCTCCATCGTCAGAACAACTTATGTGTAACAGACTTGATGACCCAAATTCTTTACTAATTTTGATGTCTATCAGATTGTAAGTGTTTAAGAAGCGAAGTATTAAAGGTCGGTTTCAATATTTGGCCGTTAACCCGTGAGAATGATCACAATACATTCAAAGTTAGTCTATAAAAGGATTCACTAGATATTCCATTGTTAAAATGGAAAGCTAATACTAATACAGTACACCATAAAAATGCACTACATTAAAACAATAGTGGGAGTTGAATCATTCAATGGAACATTCGCGATATCATTTGTACGCGTTTTATGATTTATGTGTTTTATACTACATTTTATGAATCGTGATATATAGTACAGAAGAACCTCGGTAACATAAAAACCTCTATAACTTCAAAAAATAATATGTCTCCTTCCCATTAGAGGCCAAAACCTCTATAACATAGACCCTTGTAACCTTAAAACCTCTATAACTTAAAATATTTTGTGTTTCCCTTGGACTTTAACTTATCGAGGTTCTACTATACTTGCTGTTGCTCGCGATTTCGCCCGCGTGAACTTAAAATATAATAAAAAGATTTTTGTTACTCACAGATTAATTACCTTTATAACGGTGAAAGAATTTAAAATAGGCCCAGTAGTTTATGAGTTATTACAATACATACAAAAATACAAATCTTTCCTGTTAACTTATAGTATAGATATAAGAACCATTCCCATACGTTATAAGCTAGATTTAATGTACGCAAAGGATTCTATAATTTCCATTTATGATATCTCTGTTCTCTTAGAGAAATGGGATGGCCATGTTTCTTTATTATGGCAAGGAAAACCCACGGTTAAATCAAACAATAATTTGCTCAACAGCGTTGTTGTCAAGTAACTGTAAATCGCGCAATTTTATTACTTCATAAGTTTTAACCGTTGTTCAAATTGCATTTAATGTCTTCTCATTCTATAATTTTAATAGCAATTTCTGCTGCAGACATGTCCAATAATAAAATATTTTTTTTTATCATGTGTAAACCAGCGCTTGACCACTATTCCACCTAGACCATGTAGAGGGAGTGAATGGAAGGGGGAAGGAAGTTGAGCGAGGCATTGAGACGAGAGCCCAATAATGCAGTTTGATATGCCATGCCAATGGGTGGATGACAAGGAGACTGCGGGGCCGCGTGAAAATTTGATGTTTGATACATCTTAGTACTACCGTACTCACAGACGATAGTCACTAAGAGAGTTATTCAACGTAGAATTAATACGAGATGTACCCTAAGCAATTGCTAATGACTAACTGCATTTAAATTACAGATTTTATAGGTCTTATATGTAATGGGGTCAACTAAATCGATATGATCACTGAAGTGTTATAATCACTTCATTGCCTTGGAAAAAGCTGACCTAAATGCTCAAGCGTTCACTTGACCAACCCCGCACAGGCACCCTGCATAGGGGCTGCATATACTGCTCATGCTTCGTTTGATGTTTTACTTGCAATCTTACTTAAGGCCTGCCCCACCGCTGGCTGATAGAAGCACAGATAGCTTAAAAATGACGTCACTGTCAGATAAGGGAACAAATTCCGATATTTCCATCATATGTTTTACACGTTGGATTATCAGACAATTTTAAATTTGGTGAGACATGCCCTTAATTGTTATAATGCGAAAGTGTTGATGGATAGATGATTGTTTGTTAGAGTTTACAGCCTAAACTGCTGAATGGATCTTGATGGAATTTGAAATAGATATAGAACATAACCAGCAAGGACATATAAGCTACATGCTTTTGTTTTTTTAATGCCACGAGGACGAAGTCGCGGGCGAAAGTATTCACATAAATTACTAATAACCGTGGGTTTTCACGCAATAACAATAATAATATTAAAATTTTCTGGATATCGGATAGTCTACGTTCATATTATAAACCATCTTTAAAGAACAATCTTTATGACGATTTCAATGATGTCATTGAAAACAGAAATACCAACTAGGATTGTTGGTTGCTTAATATTTAATATACTAGTTACTACACTAGTGCACTAACATCAGGTGTTAAACGATGACCTCAGACAATGAATAGGGCCTTATTAATGCTCATGACCTTAGTACCATTTGCACTTATTTACATCGATAGAGATCGTATCCGTGTGATTCATAGTTTATCGTAAAGTACTTGATTTAAGAAAGTGTTAATTAAGATTGAAACATCTTAAATCGTTACTCATGCTTCCGTGCTATAAAATTATAATTTTACGAGCGCGTACACCTTAGATTAAACTATCGCACAACTGTTTTGTCGTGCTTTGACTCCTATCGGTTTATATGGAGGTTCGAAAACTACTCGAATAGTTGAAATTTCTTTGAAACAATTGACAATCGCATAACAGTTGTGTGTGTCAAAGGTGTGCGGCCGCTCTATCAGATACTAAAACTCTGTTTGCCAAAGAATCTTATAATTGTTGTAGGTTCGAATACCACATGATACACATTTTGATTCAACCATAAAAAATAAAATAAATACGTTTATCTATATTAAAAATAAATAATAGAAACTAGTGTTATCTATACTATTATAATAAAGCGTAAATACACACTTCTTTGTTGCCTAAGACGTCAGCAATCACAGAACATTTTTGGATAGTTCTTTTTTTAATAAAAAGCCCTACACTTACGTCACGCTTTAGGCTATATATTTTCACGCCATTAAACTTAGGGGGTAAATATTTTGGATAAAAACTCTAATGTGGGAAAGAGACCATAAGTTGCCGCCAACATCAAGAATGCTTTCTTGCCATACTTTGTCATCATGTCATGTCTGTCATCTTGACATTTGCAATTGAATTTGACAAATGTAATCAATAAAACAATTCTTATAATTTCATGCGAATGAAGTCGCACAGGAACAGCTTGTTTTTTTTATATTTAACTTGTTTAACTTTGTATGATCGAATTCATTTTTCCAATGTAATCTATAATAAACAATGTTACATTTAATTTTTTGTAAACTTCAAATCGCATGGAATAAAGGGTTTTTTATTTATTTTTTTTAACTTGTATTTGTTATCAGGTTGTCAACCGGTCGCGATTTGGTTGCTGAGTCGGCACGGCTCGAACAACCCTGAGGCGAACGAAACCGCTGGTCTACAAGCACTCACCGATCTCAGAAATAATATCCTTACTAACTACAGAAATGGCAACTTTAGGAATACTAACGTAAGTAACAAGTAATTCTAAAAGTGTGTGTATGTCTAATGTGTATATTATAAAAGACTAGCTGTTGCTCGCGACTTTGTCCGCGTGAAATTAATGAATATAGCCTATGTTACTGATAAGGTAGCTCTTTAATGGTTAAATGATATTTAAAATCTGCCCAGTAGCTTTTGAGTTATTTCAATACATACAATAATACAAATCTTTCCTCTTTATAACATTAGTAAAGACAAGATGGTAAATTTAGCATAGAAAAATCATAAGATACAAGTCATATAACAATCATTTTGAATGATGGCAATGAAATTTTAATTACTTATTTAAACGTTTACAATGTCTAGTGCATCGTGCATCGTGTATCGTGTCCTTGGTACAAAGGAAGTTTATATGCAATCAAAACACGTATTTCGCATGCAAAGACCTTGGTCGGAAACCCTGAGCTTCCGTGCATGTTTCTAAGGAATATATTACATTATGTACACGTAATTAAATGCGACATGCGAAACATTCAAAATACTTAAAAAAGGGTCTTATTTAAATATACTGCAACTCCATAAAATAACTCACTTTAACCTTAAATATTTGGTACTAGGTTTCTCCCTCGATTCCACTCGTGTTTAATTATAAAATGATTAAAGCAATGTGCTTTACCTTTATGATAAGAAAACCCGATTGGAATAATAGTACCAGGTTATTGTATGTTCGAATAACTTATATTTAAACAGATGTAAATGTATAATGCTAATCGTATGGCGTATTAAACCTGAGTCATGAGTACCAAGAACGACTTTTAGAAAAAAACATCGTTATGCATATAACAGAATATTTTAGCTTTTTCTTTATTAAATGCCGTCGTATAGAAAATAACCACCTTAACACGTTTACTGCGACAAATAAAATCATAATTTTTCATGGTGCGGCGGCGGGCCAAAATGAGCCCCCCATGATATTCCCGCCAGTGCGTGGCAGGTCTTTCTAGACCCACCAACACTAGGATAAAATAAATTGCTATAAACTTGTGGAAACATATACATTTTATGAAATGTATACATCTGAGATAATTGTTTCGCAATAGCGATACGGACATAGATTTCTTCGTCCGCACCAGTCTAAGTAATGCGTCAGGCCGATATCAGCCTGTTACAGTGAGCGTGTTAATTAAAACTAAGGTTTTAATAAAACATTGCTATCAGTCTTCATTAAAAAAACAAGTTTTTTATTTTTTTGGAGACTACATATTAAGCCATACATGCATCTTAATAAAAAGTCACGTCTAAGCTAATTTCTGACGTGATTTCCAGCAACGCATCTGTTCATCGGATTTGAACCTGTTAGAACGTTGGTCATGGTCTCCCGGTGATCCAGCGCTCGCGGGCGACCTCACCAGCGATGGGTACATCTCCACGCAGCAGCTCGCACAGGCCTGGAAGCACAAGTACCCTGGACTTCTCACTGACAACCCACAAGATTATCTGGTATACGTCTTTTCATATATCTTGTCAGCTCAAGTAGCGTTGCAGAGTTCCGACCGCGCACTATACTCTGATTGACTTGAACGATGTACCGAGCTATCGACATGTATAATAACTTCTATACAATATTTTGTGTTTTTAAATATACTTAGTTAGTTTTTGTGATATATTTATAGGGATGTAACTAACATTTTTTTGCTCTCTCCCCAAATTAAATTACATTTTTATTATTAAAGATATACCCGTTGATCGCAACTTTGTCTGCATGAAATAAAAAAAAATAATAAAAACTATAGCTTATATTACTCACCTTTGACGTAGCTTTTTTATAGTGACAGAACTTTTAAAATCGGTCGAGTAATTTTTGACTTATTACAATGCATATAAAAATACAAATCTTTTCTCCTTATAACATAGATCGATAGGACCGTATGTTACGTTTGTATCAATCAAAAGTGTTATAGACAAGTTTCTATGTTTGGTTCGTTTACATCACGTGTAAGATGCCTTAGTTGGTAGTTGCTGGATTACGTATTATTTACTATGATTGGATAAATAAGTAATGCAATTGGATTACATTAATCTTTTCGATGATAATGCAAGTCACACACGTTAGGTTTGAAAAGTTTTAAATCAAAGCCTTAAATATTTCTATGCTCTAATAAAATTCATAACGTACTATGCTTTAAGATACGAGCGTCGGTGGTTAAACCAATGGGTTTAAGCAAATATCTTCAGGTTTTGGATTCGAATCCCGCCTTGGACCAATGTGTTTTTCGATTTTTCGAATTTTCATATGTACATAATTTACCCGACGTTCTTACGGTGAAGGAAAACATCGTCATACTGGACATATCGGCGAAGAAATTCAAAGATATGTGTGAAGTCAACCAACCCGCATTGGGCCAGCGTGGTCGACTATGTCCTAGTCACCCCTTACTTAAGATAGGCTCTGAGCCCCTCTGTGGGGACTTATCATGTAAGGAGCTGGTAATGATGATGTTTTAATTTGAAATGTATAATAATGTAATACGTAAGTTTAATATTTCAGTTTAAATACGCCGACGATCTCCGTTCGAGCACCAGTTTCAGAGCTTTCACTGAAGGCTTGTTTAAATCTCAGTCCGGAGGTAATGACGTGCCCAAACAAAATGATGAAAAAATATTACGAGTAAGTATCATTTATAACTAACTAGCTTTTGCCCGCGACTTCGTCTGCGTGGAATTAACAAAAAAGTGAGTAGCCTATGTGTTCTTCCAGACTATCTTCTACATCTGTACCAAATTTCATCGAAATCTGTTCAGCAATTTAGGCTACAAATTCTAACAAACATCCATCTCAACTTTCGCTTTTATAATATTAGTTAGAAGTAAGATAATTACTTAGAAATTAATGTACTAAACTGTTTTTTATTTTGTTTCTGTTTTTAAAATTGGACGTCAGTGGTTCAGCGGTTAAATACTTGAATTACAGGTCCTGAGTTCGAATCCCTATATACCAATGTGTTTGCTTTTGAATTTCGTATGTACATTTACCTAACGTTCTTACGGAAAAATAAAATATCGTAATACCTGTACAGATCTTAAAAGAAATCCAAATATATGTAAATTCAACACTCAGAGGACCAGCGTTGACTATAGCATACCCCCTTAGGGTAGGCTCCGAGCCCCTGAGTGGAGATTTTAGTGAGCTATTATAAAATTGCAATTGATATATTTGTATTGCAGCCATACAAATTCTGTCCAACATGGATTAATGAAGTAAGAGAAAATAACAATACTTTAACACAAAAAGGTACATTCGAATCCAAACAAGAATACAGAGAGGTGAGTTTCACAAAGTATAACTAGCTTTCGCCCGCGATTACGTCCGCGTTGAATTAAGAAATAACAATATGTGTTTTACCAGACTCTCCTCTATCCTCTATATCTCCAAATTTCATCGAGATCTATTCAGTAATTTATGCTAAAAACTCTAACAAACATCCATACATCCAAACTTTCTCTTTTATATTAGTAAGATTAATTCTGTGTGTAAATACAAAAAAGTAAATTAACATCGACAGACCATGACTTGATCGCTTGGTTTCTTTTTGAATTCTTTTCAATTATCCGAATTAAAAAAATATCTCTCATTACAGTATTCTTATAATTAACTTTTTTTTAACTCGGTCACTGTATCTCAGATCAAAATAGACACAGTATTCAAGTGTCTTGTAAAATACCGCTCGGTTCGACTTTCATGAATTATTTTTCTATTCATGTTTTTCAATCGTCCATTACTTAACCAATACAAAAATAGAACTAGGAAAAAATATAATTGTACTAATTTCATTGTAATCCCTTCAGCCGTTTAGGCTGCAAACTCTAACAAACATCCATCTAAACTTTCACATTTATAATATAAGTAAGAATCTCAGTTTTATCTGACAGATTTACCTGAACAGTCGGATCGAAGTTGAAATCGGACTGTTCAGATAAACTAAGCGTGTGTAGTAGGCATAAGAATTAGTGTAATAAGAGCGCGCGAACACCTGAAACTAAACTATCGCACAACTGTTTAGTCGCTTTGATTCCTTTGAGCTTATATGGAGGTGCACACTACTCGATTTGTAGTTGGAGGCTACCAAACTATAGACAATCGCACAGTTGTGCGACAGTTCAGTCAAAGGTGTCTCTACACTTATAACAATTTTAAAAGTATTTCAATCGATGACGTGACAGATGATAAGCAACATATCGAAGCGTCTTGGCTTCAACTATGACGTACATCGTGACGTCATCACCTCCATGTACCAAATGTGCCGATACAACAAGGCGTGGGATGTCGCTCACATCTCGCCTTGGTGCGCTGTGAGTACATCAAAATCAATCAATTTGTAAACAATCGATACTTTTAATAATAATTCCACGGTTTTTATTTATTGGGGAAAAAATAGCACAAGAAAAAAAATGATATAATACAATTCAGAAGTTTTGATTAGATGCGCCATCCACAACTTTACCACATAATGACTATAATAATGAGATAAATCTATAGATAGGCTTCGAGTGATACTTCTGGGGTCTGCTGGACTACTGGGGACTCTAAGATATTCTTTTGGTTAGACAGGTGTCGTATCTATCATGGCACAGATCGTTTTTCTAGATTTTTGATAATACCTGCACAGAATAACAATTAGCCTATGCTATCTTCCAGACTATCTACACACAAGCTTGACGGAGGAGGAGATGCATAGGAAGGGCAAATATCCTCTTTATGTGCATCTCCTCCTCTGTCGGATAAGGGTAGGCAACGCATCTGCAATTGCGGATGTCTATGGGCAGCGGTCGCTTCGCCATTTTGGCGGATTCAGGTGGCCGCTTGTTCGTTTGCCATCTTATGTTATAAAAAAAAGCTAAATTTCATCAAAATCCGTTCAGTTTTGGAGATATCAACAGATGTTTTTTTTTATGTTAGATGAATTCATGATATACTAACAGTCGCCCGCGACTCCGTCTGCGTGGTGTGTAAAAAAATAAAAAAGTAGCTTATGTGTTCCTCCAGATTGTCTTCTATATCTGTGACAAATTTCATAAAGACCGGTACAGCAGTTTAAGTAACAAACAACAAACATCCATCCATCAAAACTTTCGCATTAGTAAGATGTAGATATTATTAACTGAAAATCTTATTATTTAATGGAAATTGTTATTTGAAATTAAAAAAAAAACATTGAGCAAATTGTATTTATTTTTTTAAAACTATGGACAACTAATGTAATATAACTATAGGTTTTCACCAAAGATGATTTAAAAAGGATTGAATACGCGGAAGATTTGGAAACATATTATAAGTATGGATACGGAAACTCGTTGAATGAGAAAATGGGCTGCACCACGGTTAAAGACATGATGGACTTTTTGAAGAATCACGTGGAACATGGTGAGCAAAAAACTTACAATAACTATTGCTATTGTTAATCAAAGAAAAAACATTTAATTTATTAGTAATACTGCCGATCTAAATCGTTGATTAATCAACTCAGGGATGATAGAATTATTGCTAAATGTACACTAAGGGAGACTAACACTCTCTTAGTTTCTTTTTTTTTAGATTTTTGCCCAAAAAGTGTCAAACATTTTATATCCCTTGCCTTGAAGCACTTTTTTGAAATTACCAGAAGAGCGCCTGCTAGTTCTTAGAGTTGCCAGTAAGCAAAAAATTCCCAACTTCCTTCGAAATTCTCCCATGTTGAAAACAAAACAAAACTATAACTGTGCTATTTTTAATCGAATTTCGAAATTACAAAAATGTCCACATTCACTCGTGCTGTTAATTGGTCAAAATATGACGGTTTTACATAACAATAAAACCGATATTATGTGCCGAGAAAACATACAGCATTGCTTATGAAGATGCGTTATATACTTAG